TGCAAATGTCGAATGCAAACACACTCGTGGACCACAAAATAAAAGCACCGGAACGGTGTGTTGTTTTTCTAGTAAGTGAAATATTTCACTCACTTTTTGGTGAGAAAATGTTTTACGTTTATAACTAGAAGCGTTTTTAAATTATTGAAATTCTGAATGATCGATGAGCCGTTCGCGCGTCGTTGGTCAAGTTTTGTGGTAATGAATTGTATATTAAAAGTGCCGAGTAGCCATTGTTAAATCAATAACTAATGTGTACCTATATTATGCTTTCGCTCGGGAACGTCAATTATTTTTACGATTTAATTTCTGATCATTATTCCGGATACTGTGATAATATAACTAATAATAGGTCCAAACAATACTTTTTAAGATCATTAAATATTCAAATATTTTTTTTTTACCTTAGCCATAAAATTTGTCGTAAACGTAGTGTAGAGGTTCAAAATAAGCATTACGTCGGCTGTTAAATTTAACACCAATATAATAACAATGTTAAAAGTAACCCTTATGCAGAGTGCAGGTTACGACTGTCGATGTGAAAATACACAGAAAGCCACATCCTTATAAATATGCCTCTTCAAGATGATGAGCAATTAGTTAAGTTTTGACTTGAGGAAAATCTTCGTTGATCATAATTTTATTATAATATTTATCCTGTGTTGCCCCATGTATACCCTATGTATTATAATTTGTTTGCTATATATTGTGTTATTTATCAAGGTTATGACGTGTTATAATTATTAAAAGATGCTTTAAATATTTTTCTATTAACTGCATTCATTTTTTTCCATGTATATTGTTATCATAAAAATGTGTATTGTTGCATTGTTATTGTATTTTATTAATAAAAATTGCTTATTTACAAATCGCTTGAAAAATAATTGAATTGATTTCAAATCGACATTCGGTGTTGGCTTTTAAAATACCCAAATTTTTTAATTGTTCTTATATGAAATAGTTTTTAAAATGTTTAGGGTTAAATATATAGTGAATCCACTATATTTACCGAGAGAATAGAGTGGTGACACATTAATTTGTTTTTCTGCTGTTCGCCGTTATTTACACTGTTTTTATTTCGCTGAACTGTTCTCTGTTATTGGTCTGTATCTGCCACAAAATAGTCTATGGAAAACCCTTAGTAAAATAAATTTAATGTTGAAACCGGGAAATAAAGGCTTAAGTCAACATAAAGTTGCATTATATATGTCTATTTTGTCTTACTATACATATATACTAGGTAGTAGAGCTATAGTATTTATACTTCTTCAGAGGAATAAAACAAGAAATATCACCACTGAAATTCCAATAATAATTATAATCTGTTGAATAATTTTAATAACGATGCTTATATTAGATATTATTTCCATACATATAGATAATAATTGATAAAATTTAATACCTAGTAATTTCACACTTCGTCGATTTGGTCTACTTAAAAATTTAAGTAGGTGTTCAATTTTATCACCAATATAAAATATATAACATGATGTAAACGGCTAACTTGTCACTCAATTACTCGTTTAACTAATAATGATATATTTTAATCATCTAATGCCTGAAGATATATGAATATTTATTATTTTTATAATGATAATATAGGCATTGCATATATAGAATTTTACTCATCGCAACCATATAACCAGCCTTAGAATATTAAAATTAATTAAAATATTAACGAATAGGGGGGGGGGCGTATCCACCACAGTAAGATAGGAATAATAACATGGTCTTATCACAGTGTTTTATGATACCTATATTAATGAATTTGATACAAATTAATATAATTAGTACTTATCATATAGGTATATAGTACAGATTCCTATATAATCTATAATAATATTCAGTTTAATAATTAATCAAAAATAGTATAATAATAATTATCACGTTAAATACATTATATACACATGTTAACAAACATTTAATACCCTGGTTTTTATTAGAGTTAATAATATCGAAATTTAATGTAAATTCGTTTGGGTTGTTGAAGATGTATTATTTAAATTAGAGATTAATTCCATATATTATGTTCACGTAACACTTTTAAGTGTTTTAAGCAAAACCCAAACTACAGTTGTGTGTACCTACTTAACAGTTTAAATCCAAAAGCATATTAATATGATGGTATTTAATGTTTTCATTATGAAACACAAGTTTAAGTTATCGAATATTAATTATATAGACATTTTTTATCAATAACATTATTATTGCTATGCATTTTAGGGCTTTGAATTAGATAATAGTAACTACGTATACACTTTGTATAGATTCTTAAAGGCACTCGTTTACCAATAGAATGTAATAATTACAAAATCCATAGCAAATTTTATTTAACGTGTTATATCGTATATGCATTTGGTGCTAAATCAATTATACATAAAACAAAATGTAATATAAAAGAAATTAAAAATTATAAAAAAAAAACGATATTATCTATATAATAGGGTCTACGACTCACGTACATCAATGAATTAAAACCCGATGGGTCCAAAAGTACTTACTCTCTATTGTGTTGCCTATTAAATTTGTAATTTATTTATTCATATTTTACTACGCACATAAATACTTCGGTAAATGTCTTCTTCATTGTTGTGTGATATATAAGCTGTTATAATGAAGTTACCATCTAAACTTAACACCAAGAATTAGTTCGTACAGTCTCCTTGGTAGTTAACTGGGTTACTCCTTTATGTGAATTTCGCTTTTATAAGAATATTTAATCCTTTTCAAAGCCTCCACGCTGAGCTATTGTTTAATAAAGACGTGGCCAAAGAGCGTTGTATAATAATAATATATTATATTATATAGTAGCGAGTTCAGTTTTATATTTTTTTCACTTAGAACCTTCAAATAGTGCTTGGCGCTAGATTATAAAAGTAAACGACCTATTCACGAATCTCCCGACAGTCGGTAAAATTAAATCGCACAATGCAAGCAAACGAAATAATAATATCAGTGAATGGCATAACCGCCGAATTTAATAACTTTATTAACACACCACTCTTCTACAGTGTGGTTAAAATAAAAATAAAATCAACAATCAAATCGCATATTATTATTATTACGACGATTACAGTTTTAATGTGGACACTTACTATAATAACAGTTTTAATTAATAAAACGGTTCGTCTGATGTGAGTTGGGCGGGTTCATTATACGTTTCGGTCCGTGGTATAAATTTACAATAAAACAATAATTCACCTAACGATTTCGACAAGCGACCTAACCCAAAATGTATAGTTATTTAAGTTTTACTCTCCGACCATTGTTGTTCTGCTGTTTCAATTTTAGATTCACATAAGTTATATCAGCTAACCTTGTTATAAGATAGTACGTCCTGCAAACTAAAATGTAAAATAAGGTTTTATAATGTAATCCATGCAATACTGCGCACCCTGGCAGAGTTGTTAAATCGCTTTAAACCCAAACGGCTCTTTGTTTAATTGGGAATGTAGACGAGTCTTAGTTTGTTTAAAGAGCGTTCAACTTCGATGATGTCGATTCTATTATGATGTAGGAACAATATTATAAATCTGGAGATAGAATCCCATTATAATATTGTATTAACTACCGTTGACAAAATGGGTATGTCTTGCGAACTTACCTACTACTATCTATATAGAAATTAATTAAAAGTAAACAAACATTCCTCGAAACATATTAACGTTATAACTATAATTGATTGTTTCAAAGTGGATTATTTTTCTGACAGTTTAAATTGTATATAAAAATCGAATTTTCGACTACCTAGTAATAAGTATTGATGAGGTGAGTTGTGCGGGGGCGAGGAGTACGCCGAAAATCTGGTTTACTGCTTTCCTCATCAAAACATTATATACAATACAATACTTGTAAGTTATAATCAATTAACTACTCGCTAGAAATTTGAGTTTAGTGTAGTTAAACTCTAAGAAAAGCATTCTGTTTTGAGATTTATTAAGCTCGAAAATGCACCGTATCGTTGAAGTACCTAAGTAAAACAAAACGTTATAATAATAACGACAAAGATGGTAAAAATAAATGTTTATATTCTAAAAAAACCTCCGTTGGTGTACCTACCTAATAATTTCAAATTATGTACAAAAAATATATATTTAGAAAATCATTTTCGAAGCTACTAGAGCGCTAACTGATAAAATAATCACTCTGTATCCATATGGAATCTTAGAGGGAAATACAGCTATAGGTGGAATAACAATATTATTATTATGAGGGTTAAACCGTTGTATAATAAATATAGTACAACTAGGTTTATTTTTACAATTCTTCATCAATACTCGATCAAATGGCATCCCTTAGGTATATCTCGCCCACTCGCCCCTCACAACAAACTGGCATTTACTATTTACTTCCGTCCGTGAGATTTCTCTATTTCACTGAAGTATTAGTTATAGAGTGGGTGGTAGTGGTGGTGGTGGTGATTTGGGGTTTACGCTGTAACGATGCTCGTTATAATATACCTACGCTCTGTTTCAATTTCATAGTTTATCTCTTAAGGTCATAATTTATATTAGTAATTACTGCATCAGCAGGTGGATGAGAATGAATGATCAAGCACATCATTATACGCGATCGTATAACGTTCGCTTGCACCGTTATATAGGTCGGGGTGGTTAACTCATATTCATAGCTTAAGGTACCTACCTACGTTCTGGTTCGAAAGCTTTGATATTGGTGCGATCCCGCAATGCGAATATTATAATAGTTAGGCACTTGATAAATTAACAAATGTTTAACGCACGGTTGTACAGTATAAGACTTAATTAAATGTTAAACTTCCAGGAAGATTATCAATGTCACACGTCCGCACCAAAATTAATGTCTAAAAAAGATGACGTATTTTTAAAATAGGTTGAGTATAATATACATTAATATGTACTTCTAATAATCATTGAGAACAATAATGTCGTTAGGCAGTATCTATACAGTATATTGTATCTTTCTAACATACTGCGATAATGACTGTTATAATGTTTAAGACCTCGGTTCTTCTGACACATTCATCCACATTTCTTACCATTCGTCATATGATTGACCGAATTTCTATCCAGTGCAGAGTCATTTTCCTGTTCACGGAGCTCTGACGCTCTGTGAGACAACATAACGCACATTTTTGCACCAGATAATGGCACCACGTCACCACGACCAATTATGCCACTGATGCGTGCTGCATGGGTATGTGAAGTTGGAATGGACGTTTTCGGTTTGGCCATAGTTGGTGAAACCAAGTCAAGCGATGCATCGAAAAGTGACGCCATAGACGGATTTCATGTAAGAGTAAAATTTGGGACGGGCACTTGTTGGTTGGCACACATCTGGGGGGGAGGTAGCTTAGATACTATGTCGGTATTATAGTCGATACCATGGACGGTGTCTGAGTGATTGTAGACACACTAGATTTAAAAAAAATAAAACAAAATATGATTTATGATTTTTTTGAAATCATGACGTATTACTGTTTACTAGGTACCTACATTTAAATAGCGAAATAATCTGTACGCGACAATCTCGGTGGACGGTTACAGTCAGACTGATTTACAAAAATAGGTAATAATACGAATAATTGTTATCGTCTTGATCGTGGCGGTCGTCGACGGCGTAGGTACAAGTAACCAACTATAACACAAACATCATTAGTATTATAATAATAATTCTCCGAAATAATATTAATAATAATAATTGTGAAATAACCACCACAGCAATGACTGTAAATTATTTAAAAACAATTTTAAAAAATATTACCTTATGTCTACAACAGGAGAAAATGAGTGTTGACTTTTTAGGGTGCAGAATCGTCTTGTTTATAATACTATATTAATATTATATTATTTTCCGAACAATGTGGTACTATAACCTGTTCAGTGGCGTAGCCAGGATTTTAAAATTTGGTAGGGCCAAACCCAAAATACTAAAAAAACAAAATCAACAATTAACAATAACAGTTCACATTTTTATTTTATAATAATTAAATTTAAATTTATCTTAATTTTGACCAATGAGATTTTGAAGAAAAAACTTTAATTACTTCGTCTTCTGTGACTTTTTTGGATTTGTTTATCTTTGCCATAGCTAACCCATTAATAAGTCCCTCTTTGTTCATTGTTGATCGTAAATAATTGTTCAATAATTTAAGAGTTGAAAATGTGCGTTCCGGTGCCGCTGATGTAACAGGTGAAGTTGCAAATAATTGTAGTAGTAATTTTACATTTTTGTACAATTTGCTCTGGGAGGAAATATTGTGGTATTGCAGCGGTGGCCCACCAGTCAGTACAATAATAATATGTATTAACAACCGATTTTATGAAAACTGATAAGAAAAAAAATTGATGACGATTAAGAGCAAAAGCGAATTCAACGAATTTTTATACGTATTTATTTCATACATACAATATACATAATAAATTATGCTTTAACATTGATACCCACTGCTCCCAACACTGGAACTGTTGTAGCATCCTGAATACATGTCATAATAATAATTATGTGAATCGAAGATAAGCTCAAAGAAATTACTTAAGTCTGATGGCACTGTGTCTCTTGGCAGTTGGAACTCAGTCATCCACTCCTGTGCACATAAAACATCAAAAAATCCCATTTTTAAACAATATATGAATATGTATTTATACATTAAACAGGTAGTTTGTTGCTGTTGTTGAGTTATTAGACACCGAGATGACGCGATCCACAGTCGAGTAACAACCTACGACACAAATTAAAATTTATTATGATATTGTAATGAAACAAAACGAGAGAATGGGCCTGAAGAATCTGTTTGGAACCTTATCAGCTCTCCCCAGTCCCCGAGATAGTAAATTACGTGTTTTTTAGTAATTTTACTCTATAGAAATTTATATATTTTTATGATAATATAGTTGTTGATTTGCATAGTTTAGTAAGTTATAGACTATAGTTGTTATGGTTGTTTTTTATTTTATTTTTTTATTTAATATTTAAAATATTTAACTATTCTAATATTAACCTACCTAAAACGTTTGGTAAAATATTGAGTTAATTTATTTAAATTTTTCACTAACGATTTAGTAGTAGAATTGTTTACTTGAAGGACTGTATACATTTTTAATGTTTTACGTGAGGTACAAGAATTATTAATTTTATATGGTGTGTGACAGAAGTCAAAATTAGTATTACATTACAATGTACCTAATGAAATTTGTTGTAATAATGTTTGGTGTTGACGTGTCATCAATATCTCCTTTAAATAAGTATGTAAAGTAATTAAATAAACGCATTTAAATTTTGAAACAACAGGAAATTGTGTAATTTCCCGTAATAACAATACTATTTATAAATATTTGGTTATATCCTTTTAAATATAATATATTTTATTTTATTTGAATAATACGCGATTACTATTTATTTTATACATTACTTTTATGAAAAATACTTAATTTTTGATAATAGCAAATAGCAATATAATTTATTTTTTTATTTTTTTATTAGGTTTATGTGATATACCTGATAATAAATATTTTATATTTCAAACTTATTTAAACATAAATTATAATAACTTAAACATAAGAAATAGGTTTTTATTTATCAGAACCGTGATATTTAAATTTTGAATTTTTTATTGAATTATTTTTGTTCAAAATAAATCGTAAGGAAAATTCTATAATTATTGTTTGGTAAATTAAAACGTTACTCTTCACTAGTAAATGTTTTTGTGACCATAAAAAAGTATAAAAGAATAATTTGTATTTTTGCCAAGCGAATGGGCTGGAAAATACAGATATTGATTTATCAAAAGTTCGTAGGGTCGATATCGACAATAAATATACTTTTAATGGCAGTAAGTGATATTGAGTTAAACAATTTAATACTTTACGTTGCACAAATAAGTGTCATTGGTGGTGAAATGTTTTTTTTTGAACATGTTATTGTAAAGAAAAACAATAGTAATAGTAATAGTACTAGAGGTTTTTAATCACTAATATTTAAGGTTAAATTTATAAATTATATAATTACTTAAAATTATATTAAGTCTGAACCTTTGTAAGTCTATAACATACAAACTATTTGTTTTAATGAAATTAAATACTATATTTATATTACGTATAATATATTTTGTATCATTTCTTTTGTATAATATATTTTGTAATTATTTTTAACATTATCCACGAGTTGAAAATTCTCGTGTGAAATCAAGTAATGTGGTCCATCAGGTACAGTGTTGGGATTATCTAGATAAATTATCCATGTTTATCTAGATAAAGACAAATAAACCGTTTCAAATTATCTCAAAAATTATCTAGGATATGCAAATATCTTATCTAGATAGTTAGATGAAATATTCGAGTCGATACTTTTCAGTTTTAATAAAACTGTTTGATGTATGTATTTTTATTTTATTTTATTTTACTTGCCATTAGTTATTAGTTACTTACACGATAAGTCAGTAACACATTCTTATATCAGCAGTCGTTAAATAATATTATAATATGTATAAAATATATTATTGGGACGAGGTGGCCGAGTGGTCCATGCGGCCCAGCCGATCCGGGTTCGATCCTTGGTCACCGGGCGGCATTTTTCTTCGGACAAGTCACGGTGTCCGGAGAACAAGTGCCGCCATCCCGCGACCGGGCATGGCAGATACCTAAGGGTGCCCAATCAAAAATTCTGCCAAACACAAACACTCACATGTAAAAACTTACCATTCCAAACCCTACCACCTCCACAATACAACCCTACAAACAGCTAATGTCCATGATAGAAGCCGGGCTTAAGAATCATTAAAAAAAAAAAAAAAATATTATTATTACTATTATAGTTAATTTCAGTTTTATTATCTAAGTATAGGTACTGTTTTTAAATATTAAATGCCAAATTTACACGAGTATTATTATTTGCAATATAAGAAGTTAATTAGCAGCTAATAGCAGTGATTTATTATTTTATTCTTATGTAGGTATATGTTTAATATCTATTTAAGCTAGTTCTCTAGGTATGTTGCCCATTAGCAAGGCACATCATAATTTAATTATGCTTGTTATAAAAATGGTAGAATCATTGGCCTATTGTGTGTAATTATAATTGTTGTATACAACTTACCTTAATTTTATCTAGATAAAATTATTGTTTAATTATCTTTATCTAGATAAATTATTAGTTATCTATTCTCAACACTAATCAGGTATGTGTTTTGTTTTCAACTTCAACAGAAACTGCAGTGTTTTATAAATGCTAAGGGCCGGTTTTTCAATCACCCAACTATTCGTTAAATAACTATTCGTTGAATAAACCTATTCAGCAAATAAACTTCCAAATAAAACAAAAAATTATGACAACTGTTTTTCAATATAAATTTATTATCCGAATAGTTATTCGGAGAATAAAACTAATCAGTAGATGATAATGATAATAAGTATAAGGAGTTGTGCATTGTGGAACAAGTTGAAGAGTTCTGATCCATTCTAATTGGTTGAAATATCTCATCAGTGATAAGACAATATTATCAAAGAAAAATCTGTATATTATTTATTTATAATTTATATATTTTATATTTTATTTTTTATATTTATTTATTTATATACTTATATTTAAATACCATTTATACATTCAGTTCCATATTATTTGAAATTGCTTATTACTTATTAGGTAATAAGGGAAAAATATTAATTAATTTACAACACTCCCAAAACATATTATAAAAGATTGCCCTTATAATATACTAATATTTATTACCTGGATTTTGTATTTTTACATGGGTGCAATCAATAGCACCAATAACTCTAGGAAATTTAGAGATATCATAAAAACGGTTCTGTAATGTATTTATTTCTAATTCTGTGTCAGGCATTTTTATGAACCGTGGCAGCAGTCTTGCTAATGCAACACTGACATCACGAACAATTAATGATGATGTAGTTTTGCTTACTCCCAAAAAATCTCCAGCAGTTATTAGAAAATTCCCAGTTGCATAAAATCGTAAAGTTAAAAGCAGTTTGTTTATGGATGTTACGGCATGATTTCTAAAATAATTTTAACATTTACAAATTACAGAATACAAAATTTGATATACCAATTATTTTATTATTGTATAGATAATCACCTATATGATTGTGAAGATATTTGCTCATTTATATATCCTATTACTTCAATAACTACTTCTTTGGAGATTCTAAATCTAATTTTAAAGTCTTGATCATCCTAAAACTCCATATGGTTAATTCGTACACGAATTCTGTACGTACGTCGTTGATAATTTAAAAACTCGACAATTTCAACATCGTTATCT